ATTTTCTTTCCGCTAGTAGCCTTCGGGTCAATAGATTCAGAAAATACAACCATGATTGAAATCAATGTCTTTGAGAAGTAAGTATTCCGAATACCTAGTGCTCGGTCTTCCCACGAAAAAACTGTCAATGACTCCCGGCGTGGGAGGGGGGCAATTAGAGGTACTCTGTACAAAAAACCGGGATTATTCTCTGTGAGTAGAATTACCATTCTTCGGGCTAGATTAGCCAACCCCGGGCTCTTTTCCTCCTCTAGGCTTTGACGAAAGACCATATCTCTTGTCTTATATACTAGATATGCACAGAGAGTCCTTCAAATACGTCTACAAGATTGAAGGTGCTTGAAGGCATATGGCACAATAGCTTATTACTCAGTCTAAAATGCTAGCAGGGTGCTATATAGTGGGAAAATGGCGAAAAAACGAAGTGAAACGGTCAAAAACCTGCAAAAAAGCCTTTGTTCTACACGACTCAGAAAGCAATTTCGGACGAGTTTCCCGTTGGCATCGTGCCAATAACCGCTACGGTAGATACGGCTGCATGTATGTACTCATATATCCATGCAGCACCGCGGCCGCTTCATATCAATCCCTTCGCTTCATATTTTACTTAGCAAATGAAGCAATACGAGCATCAGGTACGTCCATTTCTGGGCGAGCGGACGCGGTAGGGGTTCGGGTGAGCATGCTGCAGCTTGATAGGGCGCCATAAGGGTACCGTCTTTGGAAAAGGTGCTACACAGCGCTTGCTCAGGGGGTCGGAATTCAGTCCTGCCAGGTGTATTAATCTTATACTCGTGTTTGGGGACTTATCGTGCCAACTGCCTTTAAGTGTTTGGGAGATGCTTCATAGGACGTCTTTTTCAATGCCCACCTCCCTCACATACAGTGTCAATTTCACATTAGAAGTCTGAGACAGGTTATGGGCCACACTATCGTTTATCGTTTTTTTTTTTGCTATTTCTGAGAATATAACTGTTTTTGGCGCTATGTGGAAAAATCCGGACTTCTTTTCGGAAGGATAATGTACCGGAATTTGGCTTCAGAGTATGTAAATGTAAAGTAATGACTGGCTCGTCGTACTGAGCTAATTATTGCACTATTGATTGGTTTTCCAAAATCGCAGTCAGTCGGGGACGGCGTGACTTGAGTTCAGGCCGTGCCATTGCTGCAGTGGCGGTGATATCAATTGAATTTCTCCTCCTTTACCAGTACTGGCACATTCTGTTGTTTCAGTGTCATAACGCCGAGTAGAGAACTTTAATCTCTGATGAAGGTTCTCGAACTCGGGGAGATGGAACCACAGTGCGGAACGAGCACCTGCATACTTCCAAAAGGTCGCAAATTATTTGTCTTTGAATTGTTAATTGTCACGAATTTTATTGAATTCTTTTAATTTAATAAAATGATTGCGTTAGTATTCGACTTGAGCCGGATCAGTAGTTCGTGTAATGGTGTTCCGGAAAGCAAGGTGGAAGAATTGGTTCAGGAGCCCGAAGAAGGAAGAAAGGAAAAAATTTGTTGTCGTGGATGGTCCCATAATGTTCATCCTGCACAAGAAAAAAGGGTGGATGAAGTCAAGCGCTGAATGTCTGATCACAGAGGCTGGACCCTTGTCGAGCTTCCTCGCGAGACTGACATTCCTGCTGCACTGCTGCTCGAGTTATGTCCGGTAAATTGAGGATGGTCAAGAGGGGGTGCATATGGGTACCTAATTTCCTTGTAGGAGCATGAACGCGGTACCGATTCTAGGCCAGTAGCAGCAAAGAGGTCATCGTTGTTCGTCATAGTGCCAGACCGCAAGTAATTGTATCGTAGGGCGGTACTAACAATAAGACACGAACAATACTCAGACCTGGGTTCAATCGCCTCACTCGCCCAACATGAATCCGCACGATTTCAACCGTTCTGGCCAGTGAAGGTACTGTCCGACGGCAAACGCTACAACGTTTTGTCATTCACCGAAATTGGTATCAACAGCAATTCACTCGCACTTGTTGAAGAAAAACGAAGGTACCTGTGACGAGTTCACAGTGCTTTTCTTTTTTTGCTGCTAGATGGTATAAGCATTGGAAGAAACGATAAGTGAACCAGAAGTGGCAGGATATTACATCACTGGCACAGAATAAGCAAGCCCCAGAGAGCTCGTGCAGCGAGGCTGTCACTTAGCTGCTATAGGTTTGCGACTGAACCCCACTATCCACAATATGAGGTCGCGGGATTTGTCTCTAAATCTAGCGTTAGATAGATGCTTTCAAAGCTCTTCTATCAAATTCTTCATTGGTGAGCTTTCGGCGATAACGCTGTCATCAGACCTTTAGAATACAATACTTTAGCGACCTACAGCTACAACAAATATATTAATATCAACGTCAATACCTACCACGGGCGGGGAGGCTATGAGCCTGCTGGTGCGGCTGCGCAGATGGAGAGTGACTGTCCAGCAGCCAGCTCCAGGGCACGTAGGTCTTCTGTTGTCGCAGTTATCACGCGATTATCCTTGGAAGGTCACGTAGTTCCTCCCTCGCAGTGACTGCTGGCTTGATGCGACGTATGCGATGATGCCTTGGGGCTGATTGCTGAACAGTCATCTCTTCACTTGCGCCGCCGCACCAGCAGGCTCACCTCCTCCCCGCCCGTGGTAGGTATTGACGGTGATGGTATATATTTGCTGTAGCTGTAGGTCGCTAAAGTATTGTATTCTAAAGGTCATGATGACGGCGTTATCGCCGAAAGCTCACCAATAAAGGATTTGATAGAAGAGCTTTGAAAGCATTTCCCTGACACTTTTTGATGAAGCTCAGAGATAGCAGCATTCTGCAATATCTAAATCTAGTGACACGAGGAGCATGTGAAGGAATTGTGCCACAGTGTGTTTTGAAATACCTCCTGTAGCAAATGAAAGTAGCTACATGAAAGTGACTTGGTCAGACAGTTATAAAGCTTTTTTAGATCTACTACATGAAAATGTTCACAGATTGGAATCCCGTCAAAGGGTACATAATTATGGACTACATAGATAACTTGAAAGCAGTACATATATACGAAAACGTCACTCCAGAAAAAGTGAAGCAGGTTGGTGTTAATAGGGGTGCCTTCACCCCGAATAACAAATAGGAATGCATGTACATCTGAATCAAGGGAGCCTAATACGTTCTATTTTAGAGTAGGTTTTCTGAAGTTCCCAACAAAATGACGAAACCTAATTAAGATTTTGAGACATAAAGCTGTAATGGAAGCAAGCTCCCTCGAAATACCGTTAGAGGAGAGAAGGAAGTACACACAACCTTTCAAAACCCTTCTAGGAATGATGTTCAGGAAAGAGGTACGCTACTGGAGCATCGGTCCGGGAGATAAATACCAGATCTCTTTCTACCCCTGTCATTGCTAGAGTAGAATCCTCGAAAAGTATGCAGCAATACATTACTCAACAACAATTCAGACGTTGGACCAAATAACGGCAATGTTCGCCGTGTTTGGCGAAGGAAAGTTTGCAGAGAGAGGAGAACACCTAAAGACGATCCTTCCGGAGATGGTAGATCTTGACTGGGTTGAAAATATGAACAAAACTTTTGGTGAGTGAATTTCTATGTCGCGGCGACGAAGCTCAGCAGTGCCTTTGTCAATATTCCACTATCAATACTCCGAAACTGAAGAATTTTTGCGCTGAAGCCCTGACTAAGGAGGTTATTTAGTATCCTGATTATGGACATGATATCGGTTTCTGGCACTGGCGTCACTCTGCGCCAATCGCCAATTCGGCGCCATCACCTTTCTCACCAAAATCGGTGAAAACTTGAATAAGGGGGTTATTTGACATCCAGACGAACATGACATTAGTTTCTGTCGCTAGCACCTTTACGAAAATGGCGCTGATTTGGCGGCACCATCGGGCACAGCAAAATCGATGAGAACTTGTATAACAGAATTGAATTATACCCTCGTTTTTCGACACCACACTGTACAGCCCTTTGCTAAGGATGGGCCTGCAGGTAGAGTGATTCCCTTTCCGCTAGGCTCAGACTAAGCAGAGATGACCAGAGTATCCTACGTTGAGCCGGCGCCAAGAAAGGATGTCACGTTCGTAATCAGGATGTCATAACTCCCAATACAAGCTCTCATCGGTGCTGGTGCGACAAGTGATGACGCCGAATCGGCGTCTATTGGCGCCAAACGGCGCTAGCGAAAAAAGAAGTTCGTGATCGGGGTACTGAATTATTCCTGTGGGCAAAGTCTCAATGGATTTTTTTTTAATTTCGGAAGTGAAAGCGGACATAGACACTAAATGAGATCTCCTAACGTATGCAGACAACTTTGGATCAAGAAAGCTGGAACGAAATCATGGATTTGTTTTTTGCTTTATTTCTTTCTAGTTGGCTGGCACTGCTTCCTAAGCGGCTGACAAACGCTGCTCTCAGTTAGGCTGCATGATGTCCCTTTCAATAAGTTCAACCAATTGACATCGCTGGATATTTTGATTCCAAGCTCATAATTCCAATGATGAGATGCTGCTTCTCCATGAACAACAACTTAACTTGCATTTCTGAGCACATTAGCTCGAACTCGGACAACCGTATTCGATAAAACGACAGAAAGTTCCTCTGAGACTGCACTAACGCCGCGCCGCTCATATACTGCAAATTTGAATTCTGCCGCTGAATTGCTTTGAATCCTGGCCGGTGGAGCGCACCGTTTCGCAGTGGAGCGCCCCCGGTCAGAATTGTGCGATCTAGTTGCTCGAGCAATCCAAGGGCTCGAGTGATCGGGTCGCGCGTTGAACTATTGGATGGCTAGGTCTGCATGCAGCCTAGGACTAGTGTTTGTTTTCTTACTCTATCTAAAGTTCCATTCCACTGAGATCAGCGTCATTAAGCTTATGTGTCAAGTCGAGGAGAGGGATTTTCGCGGCACCCCCCCCCTCTTTCTCCCAGAAGGATGTTTACAGAAAATTCAACAAAGAAAACGCCACTACTACAGGCCGACCAAACATATCTTCTGTGCTCCCACCTCGAACAAGAGCAACGCATTTTACATTTTCTCTCGCTAATTGCTATACATGTATCTTTCCCGTAGACCTCACACCGATTTTTACGAGTCTCGGGTAGTTTTCAAATTCCATCTCGGAGGATAAGGGGAGAGGACATTCATGTGAGGCACCTACATCCTATGGTCCGGGTAATGATACGAACGACATGATGTTTTGCAAAATGATGACAGATCCATTTCGCACGTCCAAGTGACACGTAGTGATTAAACCATCGCAACAGGGACATGTCCATGTACACAAATCAGTTAGGTCTATTGCTGACCAGAAAAATTAGTGCTCCACAGCGAACACGCATGGTACTGCTCTAGGCCATTTTCTGCATAAAATGACTCGCGTAGCGACAGTTTTCATAGCCACTGGGAGGCCCGAGCGCTTGGGATCAAACGAATGTTCTAGGAAACCCGTTTCATTGATGCATTCCAACTTCATCAACTACTTGCACAACCGTTGATTTAGTGGTATCAGCACGGATACGCCGTATCACAACTGCACGACTGGGAAGTAGCTTTCAATCCAGACCAACCAAGCATTTCTCTAATAAAGTCAGCAGCATAGCAAGCGCCTGACGACCCAATGTATCTTTTTCTCGATCCAGCTCACGCTCAGACGTTTTTGTAATACATAAATGAAAACTTGCATCATGCCTTTCATAACAGTTAGTGTTGAACATCAATAACCTCGACCGTTCATGGTTGTATTGTTCATGTCGTGCCATGGGGGTAATGGGAATGAAACTGTGAGCACTTTGCAGCGTATCATGTCTTTCGTAACGTAGTCTCTGAACAAGGTGCGATGACGCTTCTTGTTTTCTCTGATGTAATTTTACAATGAATTCTATTATCTTGAGGAATGGAAAGCGTTTTATGCCATGGCGATTTGTGGTCTATGAACGTGTTGTGGAAACAAATTGAAGATGATTTTAATATGGCTGCTGTTGTGGACTATCAGGTAGCACATGAAAACATTTTGAGGCAGATCTGAATTACAGCGTGTGTGAACTTTCACCGATCTGTGTGCAGTTCAGACGGCTCACTTTGGTTGTGCAGCAACCGATCTTGTGAGGGTGCTTTGCGCCTGTCTCAACGGCAAGGATCGGCAAGCACATTGGGAGCAGCTTCTGGAAGAATTTTACGGTTATCTCAAAGAAGAAGTATGTGACAGAAAAATGCCATACTCCCTCGATCAGGTAAACGAAGACTGTATACCTATCACCTGGGACCTCAATGAAACGCTTTTTCGTAGCTCAAAGAAGCTTTCCGACAATACTTCCCCATTGGTGCCTTCATGATAGTGCCTATGGTAGGACCATTTTTTGAGATGGTGTGCAAGAATACGGATGAGGAGTTCAAGAAAAAGGTACTGTAATTGAAATGAAGTTATACAAAAGCACTGTATGAAGGACATGTAGTTGCTTTATTGCAGAGTATGGACATCGTAATAGAAAAAACCGAATGCCTGCTCGACGATATATTCTACTTCCACGACCGAAACATGGAACTTCGAAGAGGAGAAAAAGCTGCTTAAAAGCGCACGATTGAACCACTATAAAAAATTCTTTTCTTTTGTTTCGTACATTCCGTTTTTCGAGGACCTGTCAGTAGGAAGCGTTCGCAGCTCCGCATGATCTTGAAAGAACTTTTGTCATTTTCTAATATCTTTCAGATACCACAACAATTCTTCTGTAGAAATTTATACTGGGCGCATGATGCCATGGTCACAGTATGGCTTGCTGTAATAGTTTATTAACAAATACACAAGGGTTTAGCACAATGAAGGGAGTATTACGTATTGACGATCTAGTGGCTCCTGATTGAACACCAACTAATTAGTTCAGTCTGTCGAAACTCTCAGTCATCTTCGCTGTTAACTACCTCGGTCAGAGGTCGGACGTGGTCGGACGTTATACTCCCTTCATTGTGCTAAACCCTTGTGTGTTTGTTAATAAACTACTACAGCAGGCCATACTGTGAGGTCATCCCACTATGCAAACTATAGGTGATGGGGTTCAGTCATGAACCTTACTCATTAGGGGTTTCAGTGAAGAAAAGGAAAGGAAACATTCGCAAACAATATAAAGATACCCCCTCCCCTAGATGTTCACTGTACAAGTTTCTCGGGTCTGCTGGTGAATGGATACGGCCGCTCTTCTTTCCTCATAATTCTATACTGTTTCACTACAAAAAAAGAGAAAAAAGCTCCCTCATTTTTCGCATCTAAAATGATCAAATAACTCCTCCTTACCTTCTTATTAAAAAGCCACAAGTGTGCAAGTAGTTCATTTACAAACTTTTAGTTTCTACTTTTAATTGACTTCTGAGCATTTCCGACTCTGGGGTATATTGAGGAACCCCATTTTGGTCTTTTGACTGGAGAAAGTGGTACAGTACTGCAGCTGCAGACCTATTCACCCCATATACGGCAAGGATCAAGATCCAAGGAGAAGAGGATTTGATTCGTCTTTGAAGTATCATTCACCTAGTAGGAGCCTGCAGCGAAGTTTCATGCACTGTGAATTGGTGTGACCACTAATTGAGAATGTGAATGTAATCCAAGAAGACAGAAAAAAAAGCCGTAACTTCATAATTCAGTATTTGTGGCCAGAAAATAAGTGCGAGTAGCTTGGTCATCCCTCACAGTTTCATCTACCATTCGACAAGACTGCTTCGAAGGCAGAGTAAGAATTACAGCAGGAATACTCTACCATCATGCCAGAAGCTCTTCGGTTTTGGTCTTTGAATTCTTTGCCGGCATCACGTTTTTTATATTTCATCTGCTAAAGAAAGGTTTCAACAGTTTTGAAACTAGCGAAATCTGTGCCATCCTACCATATAGAACTTCGCCTTTGTATGCTTTGGCTTCAATCCCTCTCCGGGAATCTTCGGCCGGACTGCGATCTGCAAAGACTTGCCAAGTAGAATTTCAGTCCACGACCTTAAAGTTCTTTCAATTTAGGCAAGTCTCCAACCATATTCTCATTTACAAGAACGTTCACATTAGTGGAGACCACGGTATATGACCAAAACAATTACATTTTACTCGTTTTAAAACAAAACGCGAGGGTTACTTGTTGTGTATTACTCCTCAGCAACTTTTTTTTCTTGCAACTGTTCTGGAAATATACGACTGATTCATCAAGAACAAGCATAACATGTCCGTCTGCAAATGATAGAGATGGTTATTCTTCACCCTGACGGCCCACGACCACAGGAACAGATATAGTTTTCGTTCAGTCTCGCTGCCTATCTGCGGACAACGAAATCGCGTTCCGATGTCGAAACATGTACATATCGAAGGATGAAGAAACACCGTAAAAGGATCAGTGAATATGAACTTCGTCATAACCTACTTTCGCATTGACATTGATTTTGCACACTAGTCACATCCGCTGTCACCCTGCACCTCCCATTTTCGCTTTACAGTGAAGCAAGGGAAAACGAACGAGCCATGTTCCGCTGTATTCCGAGCGATGCTGTGGCTAGTATCACCTATCTTGGAATGGTGCGAAATAGCAGATAAAACGAGTCCTCTCGAATCAGACCATTTCTGAATGATGATCTGTTTTCAGTAGACTCCGCCAAATCTTTTACAGCTCTCATTAGCAACTCCACAACATACTCCCATGCATTCCTGCACATGATGTCATATTTCAGATGGTAGTGCAGCGTTCACTCAACACAGTGGTATGCAGTACGACTGCCGCATCACCGAATGAAGCCCGCCCTGTTGTCCTAGCCAACAAAGCGATTCTAGGAAAGAAGTTACGGACCTTTTTTGCTGATGTGCTCAACCATTGCGGTGCGCCCCTTTCCCATACCTTGTGCTTGCCTCTCGCGAAACAGCTGTTGCTGTGGTTCGATGGCGCTGCATGTAGACGAGTGTCATAGCAGTGGGACGTAGCACCACCACCTCGATGCACTCCGTGATTTTGCTTTTTGTCGAAACATGTTCTAAACACTTAGAAAATGGTATCACGTACTAGTTCGACCATCAAGTCCCCTTTACGCTCCGTATTGAGCCCTGTGAATGACTTTTGAAAGAAATTTCATTTCTCCAGTGAGAGCATTCAAATTGATGGTGACAGCTTTGCCGAGGCATGTATTGGTGTATTTAGTAGCGAGCACCTATGACCTGCCAGTATAAAACGGTTGAAGAAAAAAAGTTTTTCCACAGTGGGAGCAGGGAATAAAAAAAGATCTCGCTGCAGCCAACATTCGCGCATGTTCTTTCCAAATGAGATGAAAGGTAGTATCACAGGACTCTTAAATCCGCCTGGATAAGCGTCAGGGTAACCAGCTGCATGCCGATGAATAAAACTTTTTCATTCTAGGTACCCTGGAAAAAAAGCACTCCAACGAGACAAAACGAATAATGAAGCCGCTGGTGCCTACACGAAAGTTCGCATCATGAATAGTAATGTAAGAGATGATAAGCTTGAACACGACTCTAGAAGGCAAGAAAAAAATGCACGTTAATAGGCTGAATCTGGGATGTTGTGTCTGGCAGGATTAGGTCTCCATTGTTTTGCCTTTTGGCAGAGCGGACTGCATTGGTGCGTGGTCTTTAAATGAGCCCCACGAGCTCACGATAAGTAGCGTGATGTATGTATGCATGTGATCATCTATGTCGAATCTATGGAATCAATGCAACAACTAATCCAGTCCAACATGAGATTCTCGGTCATCGTGTGCGACGTATTTGCCCTGACTTCCACATCTGGCGCACGAAAACAATCTTTTGCAGGGAGCATCCGTTTGGTTCTTGGTTCCGTCCGTTTGATGACACATTTAAGGGTACACAGTGGAGAACTGTTGCTCTTGACTCTTATTCCGTCGTTTATTTTCAAGTGCTCTCACTTCTGAAGATGCCAAATCTGTCACGCTGTTCAGGTCTCATACCATACTGGTCAATAATGTTCCAAAGGTCAGCTCTCGTAACAAAATGGAGTTTAGAGGTCTCCGCCGAGAAGTCCCTCCTTAAATGACGCTTGTATAATTCAACTAGTGGTCTGTACTTCTTCCGTTTGCGTTTAGCCGTTCTCTCGCATTCCCTTCTAGTCACTTCTCAGAAAATAAAAATTTCCAAAAGGAATGTAAACGCAAATGAACCAGTAAGAAAGCCGGATTCAGGGCAAGGGTCTTAATCGGAATCTGAGACTCATTCTTTTTTTGCAAAGATCAAGGTGTAAACATATAATCCTGTTCTATATCATTCCCACCATCATACGTGCTCATTGCAGGGGCTGGTGAGGCCCTTATGGTCGATAACCAGTTCTTCTTTCAAACAGTTGAATTCATCTTACTGGAGCTGTGAACATTCATCAGGTGTCTGTATAGTGTTCTTCGGAGTATCCATATCCATAAATTGCTAATACCGCATACCCCTTTTTTCTCCTAAGAGGCATTGCCTGCAATAACAAAGCACTGCGGTCATTACAAGTGAACCAAATGAAGCGAAATAAAAAAAATCTCGAAACTCGTAAGAAGACAGAGTTGAGTGGTTCAAGGATCGTTGTGAGGGAGTCGCGCTGAATGGATGACGGGAAAAGGAATGAACAAATGGAAAGCTGCGTGATCGACAAGCCGATTTCGAAATCAGCCGTACATTGGATTTCGAAACCGGCTGTACAGTATGACCAGAAATTTAGGTAAGTGAATGGATTCAGAAAAGTTCCATGATAGATCAGTCATGTGCTCATCTTTTCTCCCCTCGAATAAGGTGTTTTTCCTCCATCTCAATAGTATAGTGAATTGAAATGATTCAAACTAAACCGAGAAGTCATCACCTTGAATCTCGAGTCGATTAAATAAAAAAAATAGTTGAACACAACAGCAGACATAAGAATCATGAGGAAGTGGTCCCTAATTGCGGAAAAAAGTGACAAGCGTGCGGTGACACAAGACCAAATCTGAAAAATGATGAAATGACTCGAAGAGACAGATGACTGGTCTACAATTAAGCCTTTGTAAAACAGCGTTTGCGAAGGATATGAAACTCAAAAGCAGGCTTATTGCGCTCTAACTTTCAAATGCGTAAAACCAAAATCACCCAGTACCTTGCCAAGAAAAATTGCTTTTCACTGCGTGTGTCTTTTAAAACAAAAAAAACTTCAATTCCACATAAAAGGGTAAGTTATCAAAAGGCGAGCCACTTTCCATACAGAGTGGTTGACTCCAGTACTGGAGAGAAGCTGCTGGCAATAAGTGGCGTATTTTCAACTTGAGACGGCTCCAGTTCCTCTGTCATACAGAATGGAGTCACGAAATTGCGACACTTTTCGAGAATACGGACCTAACGTTTGGACGAGAAGGGAATGATACGAAATGGTTGATCACTGCCTTCATGTTGAGTCGGCTCTTTCAAACTCGTTGCCCACGAGTCTAAAATGTAGGTGTAGGTGTTGATTATCGAAGATCAGTTCGTTTCATCCTTGGGACAATGGTGTAACAGTTGTATGGTTTCAAAGAACACAGTGCAACACATGAGAAATTATCTATCCTACTATATATAGTGCGCTAAGTGTCTGT